TCAGAATTCACTGCTAAAAAGTGGAGTGCATAAGCCTACGTGACATATCATCAGAAATCTAAGAGTACAAGGTAGGCGTTTCTTCTTGCACTCAGATTCATGGGCAGTGCATAGCAATCAGACATTGTGAAAATTAAATCTAAAACCTTCAGATCTCCCGGTTTCTATTATATGACTCACCCAGTGGATTAATATCCGTAAGTACTGAAAGATAGTAAGAGAGTTTCGCCTTGTGATTTCGTAATTGATTAACAATCGACTGTAAACTGTTTTACTTTATTATTGCAAATTATATAGCATTTGTCCTTTGGGTTCCTAGTGGAATATAGGGCTACACCTACACATAACCATTTCACTCTCTTCTCTAAAGTCTTTTCAATCTGGCTCCACAAATGCCCACATGCTTTCATTTCTTCCTCACATCATCTACTCCATGTCACATTCGCTTCGGATGCCCAACTCATCGTTTCCTATTTGGATTCCACTTGACGGCCTGACCTGGAGTGTGATATCCCCAAACCGTCTTCTCAGTGTAATGTCCAATCCATCTACACTTCCTTCCAGTGCATATTTGTTGAGTGATGGGTTCTTGGATGATTTGTTGCTAGACCAGAGTTCCTTGTTGCTTATTCTTATTATTCTGACCATGTGATCTGATCTTCATTGCCGAGTGAGTGTAGGTGGCAGTTGTTGATGAATGTCTGTAGTTTGTTAGGAATGCTTTTCGTAACATGTCAAGTCTCTCAAGCATTACATAGAATCCCTGACTTGATTGACTTAGTGTTGAAAATCCGGATTTCGTTCCACATGTTGAGTGTAGTGCAGTAAATCTCCACACTGATTTCGGATTAATGCAGGAAGGCCTATCTTGCTAACTTCCCGATCCTGGATGCCTATGACGTCCTCATATGTGTCACCGTCTGCAGTTGAAACGATGCTGCCTTCTACGTAGAAGGGTAGGGAGGGAGATCAAAGAGACTTATACCTTAACATTTCTACTGTTGATAGTCATTGGTGTTTGTTGTTGGTGGCGGTGACGTTGGTTGTATACCTCCATCACCTCTGTCTTCTCCACATTCACCTGAAGGGAGTCCTTTCTTCACTGCCTCCTCTGCAAACGTCTTGATTGTCACCTGTACTGTACATCCTCGAGTTTGTGCAACACAAGACATCAGACATAAATCAGCATCGACGAAATCCAGATCTTCTAGGGTATTCTCATCTCTCAAACAGACAGCGAATGCCCATCTTCTCACTACTCACAGTTTCTTGCATCATCCAGTCCAGTCGAGTCGAGTTGAGTCGACCACAATCAGCAAGATCATCAGTGATAGTAGACAACATTGTCCTGTCTTCACTTCAACTCAAAGGCATCACTGAGCTTTCCACTGTGAATCACTAGACATGCAGCCTCATGATATAGCACATAGCCGCTGTTCAATGAGGTCGATAAAGGTTTGTGTCACTACAACCGTAGTGTTGAAGCAGCTGCCTGCCAAATTACTTCTCGGTCAACGCATGCATCGAAGGTCTTTTCGAAGTCGATGAAGTTGAGGTACAGGTACAGTGGACTGGCATTCTATGCTCTGTTCTATGATGATGTGTAGTGTAGCCTTGCAGTTTGATCCAAACATGATTCGTTCTTCTTGAATCCAACCAGCCAGCCAGTCAGTCAGCCTGTTCCGGTCGTAATCTTGAATGCAGAGAATTGTTCAGTCTCCTCATGTTGATGCGGCCTAATATTTTGCTTAGGATAGAGAGGGGTGGAGAATGACTCCTCGTCAGTTCTTGCAAACACTTAGGTCTCCCTTGATTGGGAGTTTGACAAGGTCACCCTTCTTCCAGTCCATCAACAGGTAACTTTCATTTCCTTGCTTGCAAACCCTGTGCAATAGTGGTGTGGTATGAGCATGTCGGCTGTTGTCTCCGCATGTGTTTTCAGTGTTTCTGGAGGAATTCCATCTCGTCGTGCCACTTTCACGGATTTCAGCAGGTTTATGGCCTCCAGTTGTTCTTCTGCTTTTGTTGGGGGTTTGTGTTCAGTGAAAATACTGTGACTGTGCTGCTGGTGTTATTTGTGGACGAGTTGCAGTTGGTGGTGGTGGTGGTCGATTTAAGAGCTTTTTAAAGTGGTCTGCCCATTTTTTCTTTTTTTTGGTAACTAGATTTCCTTCATTATGTTTATATGTTTTCATCTGAGTTGACCTCTACCTGGATCACCAATATCCTCCTATTGTGTTCCCATGGTTATTTGTATACATATATGATTTGTTTTGAAGATATTCGCAGTTACGTATGAAGCGTTTTCCATCAATGAATCGTTAATATGTGGAACCTGGGAATGACTATATCCGTATGAGAGATAACAAAGTGTACAAGATTATACAGATTTGTACTGCTCGACCGGTGTTGGCCGGATACTCCTGGATGTTCATCATGTTATATTCATCCTGGTGACTAGTATTGGAATACACGACGCGCGTTTCCTACTATTTGGTCGAGCGATTCGGCAAGTATTAATAAACAACAACTGATGTCCTTTGCGCAAGTGGTGTCCCTCATACCCCAGTGGAAAGCTCCTTGCCACCTCAAGCTATGGGTACTGCATTCGAGTCTCAGAGGAAAGAATATCACTCAATGGGGTGCAAGCACATCCATCTGACGAGTCCCTAGTAGATCGAAACGCGCGTCACCTCAGTCCATAAAGGTTCACAACCTCATCGACCAATTTGTCTATCTCGCTCAGTACCCTTCACTTAAACTCGATATTACTCACATGGTGATTCCTCCATACGTGAACCTGTAGTCATTTCATATCTTACACTTCTAACGGCCAAGTGTCATAGGTGTATAAGATGAAAGAAAGGACTACAGTACAGTATACTCATCCTTTAACATCCTTTACTCATCCATTTCTCGCCAGTCGGTGCCACAAGTTGGCAAATGCCAAATGAGCCTTCTGTATCGTAGCTGATATTTCTGCAATAGCCAACCGTTTTGTGCTGATGTAACTGTCCAAAAAAGTGAAGTGGTCAACGCAACAATCACTTCATTCCTTTTCTTTAAACTAGAAGTTAATGTAAACGAATTCTGAAGCATTTTCTTACATTTGACGCGTATCAAACATACTGAGATTCCTCCTTAAGAAGTTCAGAAGAACTTGCATCCTGTGAGCGACTTCACCTAACAGGATAATATCGTCTCAATACTCCAAGTCATCCACATACCCTCCAAGGAGTAGATCGATTCTTATGAAATCAGAAGTACCTCAGGTTACGTACATTAGTTTGTCTATAACGAAGTTAAACAGGAAAGGTAACAGTTGGTTACCCTGGCGGACACCTCTAGTTATCGTCGATTAACATTACAACTCTCCATAAGCCCTAATGCAGCCCCATGACCTTGGGTAAAGAGATTTGATTATTGTTGCGTAATTGCTCAGTTCTTCCACAGTCAGACACTACTACAATACTTCACGGTTGACGTAATTAAGTGCCGCTTTCAGGTCAAGAAATCTGACAAGTGTTAGCCACTGGTATGTGTGCCTATGTTTTGTTTAAACGTAAAAATCTTATCGATACTTCCTCATCCAGCTATGAAGGTCCCAATTCCAAGGTGAGCATGGTTATCATCTTCATTCAATAAGAATTTCATGTACTGTTAGGGAGCACTGAACGGTTAGCGATTTCGTCCGAAATGCTGAAGTAATGTTTCGTCCAATGATTTCTAAGAAAGGGCTAGATAACAGTATTTATCCAACTCATCTGAACGAATCTCATACAGTAAAAGTCTGACTATCCATGCATACATCACCCTAATTTACGAAGTCAACTCCAAAAAGATTTTCATATATTCGAGATCAAGTATCAAATGAAATTAGCTTCTGGAATATATATGAACTCTGAAAAAACTGGGGGGAAATGAAGTGAAACATAAACCCCTAAGTAGTGCCACCAATTTTTTCTAATCGCATTGCATCTGTTTCTGACACCTCCGTCGCTAACTGTTATGTCCATGATTATCTAAACGCTGCTATCATCATCATCATCATCATTATCAACATAGGACCAGGCATTACTGCGTAACGGTCCGAGTTGCCACACCTCATATCAGCACATCAAGTAAAAAGGTAGTGAGGCGCGGACATTGAAGGCTCCAATATGTAATTTGGAGCGTGGTTTAAGGAGACCAGGGATGCTGTTCTGTGGACTCAGATCGTTGTCGAAGGCTGCAGAGGTAGGAGAAATTGAAGATGATGCAGCATCATTAATTAAGAGACGTGAAGGAAGATTAGAAGGTAATGATGGAGGAGGAGGATAGCAGTCAGAAGAAACTTGGGTGCTGACAGAGTTGTGAGGGCGGTTGACACTTCCCGGCTGCCCACACCGTGGAAGGCTATTTCTTCTTAAGATACCTGAAAGAGATTTGTGTGACCGCAGAGCCCATCGGACATTTGCTTGAGGCCTGTCACACCCAGCCTTTTGAGTATGATTATTTTGAACTTTTGTATTTTTGGGGCCGGATGGTCGAAAGGAAATGACAAGTGAACCAACACCGCCGGCCCGGCAGACCGTGGGGCGTGGTGGAGTGTGTTATTTTTGGGGCCGACCTTTTCTAACCCCCCCCCTTCCACTGAGAAGGCAGCATCAGCATGGCACTGCTGGTCATCCAAGGGAAACACCTTACTGCTGTCACACCCCATCCAGCTAGCAGCAGTACGAATTCGCCCTCAGTCCCCCATCATAGTGTAGCAATTTACACTATAACGGTAACTGCTTTTCGTCTAACCACTATCCAACAGACCTTTCTGGTATGGTAGGACCTCGAGGGAACAAGCGTTCCACCAGCATAGCTCGTTGGGTCATTGTGATATGCAAGCCCGACCACCACGTCAAGGTAGCAGCTATCGGTCGCTGCTGACTAACGGCTAACTCGTATACTAGATACCACCGACTCAAGCAAACACACACCTCCAGACGAAAAGAGAAAGAAAACTGGACTAAATAAGAACTTGCTACTGCCTCATAGAATATTGATAATAATCCAAAATACATGTGTATGTATACATAAGATGGGAATTTGTACAAAATATAGAATAGCACCATATTCCTCAACCGATAACAACAATAAGAGTAAATTGAAGTTGAATAAATTACTGTCCAAAGTCCACTAACCACATTTATTTCCGCAACTAGACTAAACTAGACTATCAATATTTGCGTTTGTCTTCAAATGTGCTTGCAGATTTCGGTGCAACCATTTCTGTGGGATTTGATAGGACATTAGTGTAAGAGACATCAGCACTTCGTGTCCATAGGGCTCTTTTAGTCAGATTCACTGCTTGTTCACGTACTTGTACAGCGGCTGTAGACACTGTATTAGATAAATGACTCAATGTTCTTTGATTATCAGATGATCCTGTACTTTCAAGGCTCATAAAGCGATATTCATCCCCTCCACCTTGATTGACTAGTATCATTTTTCGGTTCTGCGGATCTTTATGCCCTAAGCTAACAAAAAAAAGAGGAGATGGATAGTTAATTAAGTCAAAATTAATTCTTTAGTAGACAGAGAAATAAGAGTAAAGTCCTAAGGTACTATTACTATTCATCTTTATACATGAAGCAATGCAACTCTACAAGACGTTTTGCATGCGCAAACAAAAGCGCTCATCAGTAGCACATGTTACAAAGCTACGCACAAATTAGATGTTATACTATAAGCTCTTCTCCTGAGAATAAAACCGTCCAAATACAAATATCAAGGCTTATGAAATAATAACCAACTGGAAGGACAAGATCTCATCCCTATCAAACAGTTAACGAATTTTCAGGGAGTTGTAGAGATTTGGAAATATTTCAAGTTGTTATTCATCGTAGACTGACATCAGTAGTTGGAGGAAAAAAGGAAACCTGGAAGCACTGGACAGCTGTTTCGTCCGACTAGTATGGGACTCCTCAGCAGTGCGCACCCACGACCCCGCCAGGGATCGAACCCGCGACCTTTAGGTTCCGCGGCCAGCGATGAATAACAACTTGAGATATTTTCAAATCTCCACAACTCCCTCAAAATTTAATTGAACTCGTGCTCATTGGTGACTAGCTTCAAGAAGTATTCCCGAGGTTCCAATGAGAAGCCGTGACCGATGGAGTCAAAGCCTTACGGCCGCGGGGACAGATACTCAACGATGACATTGGGTGGCGGCTTGCGCTATATCGTGAGCTAACGGAAGTTGGAAATATGGAACAGTTAACGAAGTTTACTTAGCACAGCTCATCATCATTCACTTGAGCATGCAACCTACAGTTGGACAATTAAATATCACCTAATACATGCCAACGTTAATCTTACACGAAAAATAAATGTGAGAATTCTGTTATTCCATACTAGATTTGTTTGTCTGATATATAGCGCATAACGATACAGTATTATTTATATGATGATGACGCTCCGAGCATAAATTATCACCGCTCATAATCACATGTCAATGGAATCACACATCATTTTCGACATCTGATTTTTATAGACCTATCACCCACCTCATATGCTTTGTTTTTAGTGGTAGTAAAATTTTCCATATCTCTGATACAGGTGTTGCATCATTCCTATTACATGTATTGGGTGCTGACTGATTCGATGAACAAAGACTCAGTAATCAATCTCACCCTCTCTCCACCTAATTATATTGAACTTAAGTGCAGGGGTTTTATCCCAGCCTACTGTGTAGTAATGCATGCATTGCAATAGCTGAGTTCTTTTCTAGATCATTGATCCTATTGGGGTCTGTTATCCTATATTTAACTAAGTTCATATGTTCGGCTATTCTAAATGACCCCGATCCGTTAGTTTGACCTATGTATTTGACCTCGCAGTCATTACATGCAATTTGAAAGGTTAGACTATTTTGCTTAATTAGACCTATTTCTCCCTAAAGCGGACAAAGCTTATCTAAGAGTGAGTTTGTAAGTTCAAATGCCACCTTACCTCTAACCTTGTTGAGAATCCTACGTAAAGTTTCTGATGTACCTTCCTTACACGGTGACACAATGGAGGCAGTAAACTCCTTTCTACTTGTGTTATCGTCACGATCTCGTTTCTTATGTATTCGTAAGCATTTTCTAATAAACTGTAGAGGATAATTACTAACTATAAGTGCATCTTTATGTGTTTCAGTTCTTTGTTTAGGTCTTTGCATTGACTAGTCACTTTTCTAGTTCTATCATGTAGACATTTGACCAAACCTGCCTTAACTGACTGACATTGGATGGCATGATTTGAAGTCCGGAATGTGTCGGTTTTCTGTAGACGGTAGTAGCATCCAAACCACCGTCTGTCCTTCGTTTTATCTCGCAATCCAACATAGGTAATTCTCCTTGTTCATTTCCTACCTCACAAGTGAGTTCCATTGCGCCTACTACTGAGTTTATATGTGTGAGGAAATTGTCGATATGTTCCGATTTCAACACAGTAGTAAATGTGTCATCCACATGTCACTACGTTTGTAAAGCCATGTCTTCCAAATTATCCATAAATATATCTGCCATGATTGGCGATCCAATTGTTACTCCTTCTATTTATCTGTATATTTTGCCCTTAAAATTGAAGATTGTGGGAGTCAGGCACAACTCTACGCCTAATATGATCTCACCAACCAACACTTTAGTTCCGAACTTAGAACTAAGATAAGTTGTTGAAAGTAGTGAGCAATAACTCATGCTCTTCATTAAATCCTCTGGTACGACTGGAAGCGAAATTATCTTCATCATAATCACCTCGAAATACTCTCATACAACTATCCACTCTCACAGCTTCTACCAGGAAAACCCTACTAACTGCTTTCATATGAAGAGAAATGCTTTCAGAAAAGTAACAGGATGAAAACGAACATTCGACATTATCACCTAATTAGTGTACATGGAGGGATACACCAGTAGTGCTTCTTGAATAACAAAGTTCTGCTTTTGTCCCCGTTTTTTCTCGCATTCTTTTCCATAATCATTTAAGTAGGGCCTTATTAATATTATTATTATTTTGTATGATACATCTCTAGGTGCGCAAACTGAACTGTTTTACGTATAGCTCTGTATCTCGAGTAACCTTCGAAGACACTGACATAACTGTTCGTATGGTCGGTGAGCAGGTATGGAGACTTATTACTCGGTCATGCATTCGCCATAGACTATGTAATTATAAATAAACAGACATACTTAGGTTGTCTGTCAACTGTGCAATGGATGAGTTAGCTAGTGTCCTGCTAGTTTTTTCGTATATAAAAGGATACCACTAGTTGTATTTATTTATCTCATCAATGAAATAATTGTGGTATACGATTACACAGACAGATAGACAGACAGACATACGTACAAACCAACGTGGAACCCGGCATAGGAGTGTATTACATCGGCTTAAGTTGCCGCACTTCACAGAAGTCCACAAAGAACTGGTAGATAAAAAAAGGAGTGATATCAAAGTGAATAAAATAGTGTACGAGAATAAACAATCTAAAGAAAGAGGTTAGTGCGAATATTCAAGCTTAAAATGTCAATGAGTGAATATATCTGCACCATTTCACCAAAAGTTTTCAACCACTGATTCCTATCATCTCAGGGACCCCAGCCAGGTAGCCTACATCTCCCAACACGGCTCGAGTTAGTAGTTAGGGACTTCATCGACTGGTACCACACCTTTTCCCGGTCACTCTAAACCCTCTTCTAATCAAATCCAACTTTCCCTAGCATGGCATGACACATGAAGGTAGACGGTGACTCGGTATGCGCAGTACATGGCCTAACTTCATCAATCGACTTACCTGTCTTGCCTAGTACCCTTCACCTGACTTCTACACTCCTCATATGGTGATTACAGTAGACGCGAGTAATGCTACGACAATACATGATCACAAATCCTGTAATCGTACATCACATCACTGTATTAGCGTAATTATTTACAGATAATCAGAAAATAAAACATAAAATCTTCACAGTGTTCACCTTCATAATGTAAAGAAAACAAACGAAACATAAATTAGCCATCACCTTGTTAAAAAATTATGTTTAGCAAAGTCAAAGAAAGTGTAATCACAGTAAGATTTGCAACACAATCCCATTAAATGATGTTAACAAGTATACACTTCATTCATACAGATGTGACGTTCACTTTTTATAAGCGCCAATTATAAAAGCAGTAAATGTTAGGCAAAGAATCAATTGCGAGCACACTGACACACACACACACACACACACACACACACACAAATGCAAACATCAAGACAATCTTGCTGGTGCTTTTTTCTCAGTTTTGTTTTGTATGCAATCGATTTTATTCAATACCTTAACAGTTCTTCATCATTTAGATCCCATGAGACAAGATCGATACCGAGTTCAACAGTTGAACTATAATAGTAATATATAAATATGATACATAAAAACATTACAAAGGTAAATAAATATATTATGAAAGGATAAATTTCATCTGCATTGATCAGTCTGGGTGATAATAACTTACCAGCTATGGAATACTGGCCTAGATTTTTTGTTTGTTCACACTCATATCTGAAATGATAAGGGGAAGAACTGATGTCCTTCGGTGAGATTTGAATCCGCTACGTTACCACCTAGAGTCGTAAAGTGTGCAACCTGACCACTGAACTAATATTCTTGCCAGCATTTACCACCTTTTGTAGGAATGGATTAGATGCAGTGATGGGTCACTGTTGTCTCTTTCTGGCCGAACTCTGTAGATCATTTTGCAATGTGACACGATGTTACTAACATCTGCATTGCAGTTGACATAATCGATCAGATTCGGTTGGTACTCAAGCCTAGACAACATAGAAATGGTTGCTCAAACGACCAACTAATGTTTCATGAAAGTGAAGTAGGAAGCTCTCCACAATAACCCTGACTGTGAACATTTCGACATTATTATAAGAGTAACAGTCGGGAAAACCTCTGTAGGTCCAGGAGTCAGCCACAGCCACATACACAACGAGGCAGCATCGTTCAATAGATTAATCGTAAGACTATAGGCAGTATATTCTCTCCAACGTTATCCAGTCCATAGTACAAGATGACCCAGTGATTCAGCCAAAAGGCAAGCAAACAACCCTAACATGTTTGTTAGTACTGAAATGATTCCAAGAACACTAATCTACAGCTAATTTTGCGCTTGTTTATGATCCGGTTTCTGTCTAATGTACAATTTCAAAATATCGTTTCTGAAGAGACAACACAAGACCTGTATAATATACTTCAAGTTAGTCTTTGATTACTGTACACACTACATTTTCAAATTCTCATCCTAGAACAACTCACGAACGACGCAACATTGTCGACATGAATATGCATCCGTTTACTCTTAGTAAATTCAGTTAGGCTTCATTATGTACAATTAACAACCAGTAAGTAAGTCACCGATTCCGAATATCAGTAAAACACTGAAAGTCAGTGTATCAGGGGACAGAAACTTCGGGAAAACAATACTTTCACAGCATAAATCAGTTAATTTGGGGGTTTGTAGAGATTTAGTGATTTTGTTTTCAAGTTTGTATTCATCGTGAACTGATATCAGTTGGAGGAACATTGGAAACCTAAGAGGACTGCACAGGTGTTTCGTCCCAGTAGAAAACTCAGCAATGCGTACCCATCACCCCGCCTTTCTATGGATCGAAATCACGACCTTCAGGTTCCGTGGCTAGCACGTCAACATCGCACCACTGGGTCGGAATCCAATAGTCCATACTTCCTACTTCTGTCAGTTCACGACATAGCGCGACAATCAACCAATGTCATCGTTGAGTATTTGTCCTCACGTCCACCAGGTTTGTGCCACAGGTCATGATTTCTCATTGGGACTTCACGAATCACCTCTCGAAGCTAGTCACCAATGAGCACTAGATCAATATAATTCGAGGTTTTGTGGGGATTCAGTGATTTCTTTCCTTTTCAAGTTGGTATTTATTATAGACTGACGGATATCAGTTCATGATGACTCGTCCTCATATGCAAACTTCGTTGCTAGGTGCACTGCGTTCAGTCTGTAAAGTATATTTTACCTGTCCATGTTGTTTTTGCACAGGATATATATAAAACATCGTGTGACGGGTACAATTTTAATGCTGCTGCTTAGTGGGAACACCACTGCTCACTGGGAGGCAGATACATCCAGCTGATGAGTCCCAGATAGGAAGAAACGCGCATCATGCTGGATTCCATTGCTTGCCACTATCCATCATCCATATATAACCGTAACATAGGCGATATCGAAGCATCCGCGCAGGAGCCCATATGTCAATAGAGATCGATGAATCCGGTCCAATCAACGACGGGATAATACAAGTAACAACATTTATTCAGATAAACTGTGGGTGAATAAAAGATAGGATTTAAATGATGAAACAGATTTCTCTCTCTTTCTCTCTCTCTTTCACATACACACACATTAGATTAGAGTTTGAATCAGTGGTGTTTTCATCCAACTAACAGTATGAGCGATTAAAAGCGACTGTTTCACATTGATCCGTAGATTTCGATAGCCAGATGATAGTGATCAAAACACTCAGCGATCATTTCATCACTCATTTCTTTGGGTCGGATTCATCATCATTATCATCAATATCAACATAGGACCAGACATTATCTGAGTAACGGTCCCACTTGTCACACCTCACATAAGTACATCAAGTAAAAAGGCAGAGAAGCGCAACATGAATATAAAAAAACCCACTTGAAGGAAATACAAAGTACGAAAAGAGAGGAAGGAAGAATGAGAAAATGGTGAGATCCAGTATGCCATCTTTAAGATGAGGATAATGTGTGTGGGGATACATCTGCGCCACTGACATCGATTCTCACCCATATCACCTAGAGTCTCCAACCACTGGCTCCTCTTGTCCCACCGACCCAAACCGGCTAACCTACATCGCCCCCACACAGCTCAAACGAACAGTCAGAGACTTCATGCATTGATGCCATGTTTTAGTATGGCCACCTCGAGCCTTTTTTCAGCCTGAACCTACTTCAGCCAACATTGTGTGACGAGGCAATCGGTGATTAGGCATACGTAACACGTGTCCCAACCATCTCAGTCGATGAAGATTCATAACCTCGTCAACTGATTTACCTCTTCTCGGATTCATCAGTAATGTACCTGATTGTTTTCCAAGTGGTAACCTAGCTGACATCACAATTAGAAGGTTTAGAAGACTATCCTTTAAAAGCATAAATACTTACGTATTCATTCGTGCATAATCCAACTGTAGCTTTGTAAACAGACTTGATTTTAATAGTTCATTAATTCGACTGAAATGTGTTGTCGCTTTAGTCATACCTTGAATTGCACTTCATGTTTATTGGGAATTAGAGAAAGAAATGAACAACATGAAAACCAATTTACATTTTAATAATCATAAATATTATCATTCGTATTATTTATAGAGAAAACATAGCCCCAATTAAACACAGAACTAAACAGCTAAATAGTAGATAGCCATTCAAAATTTTTATCTAATTATGTATAAATTAACAATTCGTAGCTCTTTCAGTGGACTTTTAACTAGTGGATGAAGAGTTATAATCTCCTTCCATCCACCAAGGTCGTTGGATGAAGAGATAAGGACGACCAGATCTAAACAATAGCATCGACGTATGTAGTATACATATCAATCCGCGCTCAGTCATGTATACCAATGTAGACTACCTATTCAGGGTTAGTGCAGCCAAAGAAATTCATGCCTGGAGGTTTCATGTGAGATACATTCACGCCCAATCAACAACTTGGACATCAAATCATACACCATCCTCTAGTCTTCGATAGCTTTCCAAAAAATTATTTTCTTTCTCTCCTACACATCACGTCTATTGCGAATCAAGTGCTTGAACAAACATCATTTGAATGCACAGTTCACGCCTCAAAATATTATGTCCCATAACTCCCACACTTTGATCAAGTTTCAGATGTCCATCTTTCATGCGGTCTACACGAACTCTATACATGACACTAACCCCGTTCCGCCCCCCCCCCTCCTTACTGGGTGCTCACAATCAATCAAACGTTCTGAAATAGAGATGCGAACTGTTCTCTTTCCTCCTCTGCGAGCTCACGTTAGTATATGTTAGGAGATACCATTTTAGAAAGGGAACGCTGATCACGACCAATATTACCTTACTCCACAGGAGTAGGTGAAATTGTACACAACACACAATGAAAGTGACCAAGAGAACAAGCCTATCCTTCACACATACTAGAAGGATTGAGTAAGTGGAGAAAGTTAGTCTGAGCTTGTTAGCAAACAAGGTTCATCTCAACTAACATACCAGACAATTTCTAAATATTTCTGCTGATGTATATCCATTCAACTGTGAATTCAATGAAAAAAGGTTTTCTAAGAACCGTAGAATTGGAATGATTATCTAGTTTCCGTTTTATCGATTTTACAATTAAATACTCAGGATACTGGTTTTCAAATGGAAACAGTTGTAAGAAAAGTAAGCTCATCTTCCAAAGCATCAGGTTTGTAGATAATACGGATTTTATGGTGTAAGAAACGTATTTAATTTTGCTTAGTATCTAGAGGCACCCCGGTATGAAAAGATGGCACATCTCTGCGTTAACTTTTCCGCATGGGTTTCCTGTGAATTAACCTTTTAACTATTCCATTGTTTAGTCTTTTCAGCTGTACCTCTAAAAAGAATATCTTGGAATCCAGTTACTCTTCGAATGTTAGATAAAAAAAAAACCCCAATAGGTGGAACTTTCGGAATCACAGTCAAAAGAACTGATAGCGGTGATCGTCTTCTAAAACTGTGCTCAGTCAGACATTTTTTTTCTGGTCAGCGAGAACTTCAGACATGACGTAGTGTCCACTTACCTCAATTCATAGGTGGACACATAGATCATATTGCTATCGCTTGTTGCTGGAGAGGGTTGTTGGAAAATATCCACTTTTTCGGAGCACGTGTTTAGACAACGATCAATTATCGCTTCTAATACGCATATGTCTGCATCTAAATAGTCAAGGGGAAACTAAAGAAGTGAGATTATTGCGAGGGTAACTTGGCGTTGAGAATACTAAGACTGCTTTCAGCAAGAAACTAGTTCAACAGTTATTGAACGGAAGAACACTGAACCGGGGGCAGGCTGGCGTCATCTTCAGACTGCAGTGGAAACAGCAGTGAGGACTATGACTGGCTCTCAGGAAGTGGTTAAAAAAAGCCAGTTGGTTTTAACAGCTCCTTCTCACCGGAAAATGGGTGTAGGTAAACGCATCCTTGCAGGCTGTGAAGACGACGGGGAGTGGAAACAACTCAAATGCAGATTGACAACAGTAAACAGCTATTTAGACTAATAAAGAAGACTGATGCAAAACGATGTGGAATTTATTGCAGAGTGACAGGATGTACATCTTAGGTTATCTGTATCATTAGAGGTGATAGAGAGAATATCTGCGTATCGCGTATAAAGTTCTCTGTGGTTGATCTGCCTGCTAAAAATATCCATTTTCTGGCTTCAATATGAGGAAGCCTACAAGCCAACCGCCCAATGATAAACGCATAAGTATGCTGTCTTAAAGCCTATATAATTTCTTTATTCAACGGGATTTTGGCATTCAATGTGCATCCCAACAACAGTTCCTTAGGATAGTATATAGATACTCCAACAAACAGACCATAAGAATTAGTATAGATCCTTATGTAATACAGTGTCCCGAAAAATAAGAGACTTTTGAGTAATGAGACTACATCTAAAGACAACATAATGTTGCCAGAGTGGTCTTTTCATTGAATTCACAGTTGAATGGATATACATCAGCAGAAATATTTAGAAATTGTCTGGTATGTTAGTTGAGATGAACCTTGTTTGCTAACAAGCTCAGACTAACTTTCTCCACTTACTCAATCCTTCTAGTATGTGTGAAGGATAGGCTTGTTCTCTTGGTCACTTTCATTGTGTGTTGTGTACAATTTCACCTACTCCTGTGGAGTAAGGTAATATTGGTCGTAATCAGCGTTCCCTTTCTAAAATGGTATCTCCTAACATATACTAACGTGAGCTCGCAGAGGAGGAAAGAGAACAGTTCGCATCTCTATTTCAGAACGTTTGATTGATTGTGAGCACCCAGTAAGGAGGGGGGGGCGGAACGGGGTTAGTGTCATGTATAGAGTTCGTGTAGACCGCATGAAAGATGGACATCTGAAACTTGATCAAAGTGTGGGAGTTATGGGACATAATATTTTGAGGCGTGAACTGTGCATTCAAAAGAAGTTTGTTCAGTTATCTGGTTGACAACGCGTACAGATAGTCTGTAAGAATATTGAACCCTCAAAATATTTGTTTTTCTTCATTACTATCTTTTTCATTTCTCTAAGTTCAATATTTCAGCTGAATATTGTGATGTGAGGTATGGACACTTGCATTATTACACAGTTATGCTAAACCTTAAGCTGTTTATATCTGTTTATGAAGCCACTTTTGTCCATGGTTATAACCACGAAACTCAACAAACAAATACGATTTCACTACTGGTTTTCATCACAACTCATTATCAGTAAAATGCTCATGAAGAAGGAGAAAGTACTCTTAGCCTAGTGTCCTAGATCGTAATTTACCGAAAGAAGTTGAATACCACACAAGCACTAGTCCGAACTGTAGCTGTGAACCACTGGTCTAAGTATTTGATTTCAAACCGATAAGTCACAGGTTTGAAACTACCTCCACTTACTGAGGTCTCGATAGCCGGGTAGTACAATTCGCTAACTGTCTACCAAATCCATGTGCAGCTGATGAGTGGATTTCAATAGTACTCTTCAACTTCTGATAAATATCAGAATAAACCGAACTAACCTTGCTGTTGAATGAGGCTGATAAAGGTTTGAGTACCACAAACCTTTATCAACCTCATTCAACAGCTATATGAAGACGCCATATGCCAAGTGATTCACAATGGAAAGCTCAATGATGCCTCTGAAGTGAAGACAGGAGTAAGACAACGTTGCCTACTATCACCGACGATCTTCCTGATTGTGGTCGACTGGATCATGCAGCCAACCATGAGGAGCGAGAAGATGGGGATACGCTGGCTGGACAGATGAAAAGAGCCTAGAAGATTTGGGGTTCGCCGATGTTGATTTATTTCTGATGTCTTAAGTCGCAGAAAACTCGAGGATGTGCAGGTGAAAATCAACAAGTTGACAGAAGAGGCAGCGAAAACGGGACTTCAAGTGAATGCAGAGAAGACGGATATGATGAAGATACCCAACCAACAACAGCATGAACAACAAGCACTGATCACCATCAAGGGGAGAAACCTAAAGGAAGTAGTCTCTTTCACCTACTTAGATAAAACAGCATCGTTTCAACTACAGGCGGCACAGATGAGGATGGAAACGCTATGATCGGAAAAGCAAAACAGGCATTCATTAATCTGAAATCAGTGTAGAGATCAACTGCACTCAGCATAGAAAACAAGATCCAGATCTTCAACACTAATTCAGCTAAGTCAGTGCTGCTATATGATTCAGAAACTTGGCGCGTCACGAAAAGCATTGCCAACAAACTACAGACAAACGTGAACAGCCTCCACCCACGCTCGCTTCGTACTGAAGATCAGATGACTAGAAAGAAGGAGCAACAAGGAACTCTGGCCTAGCAATGAACCAACCAAGAACCCATCGCTCAACTAATATGCAGAAGAAAGTGGAGATAGATTAGATTGGGCATAAACGGAGAAAACGGTTTGGGAACATGACGCTCCAGGCCAGCCCGTCGAATGAAACCCTAAAGGGGAAACGACAAGTTGGGCGTCCGAGACGAGAGTGACATGGAGGAGAGGGCGTGAGGAACAAATGAAAGCTTGTGGGTAGTGGTGGAGCTAGGTTGAAAAGATTGTAGAGAATAAAGTGAAACTGCGACGTGCTACTGAAGCCCTATATTCCACTAGGAACCCAAAGGACAAATAATAATAACTTTGCATCTTCCTGTAAACTTTAGTGAATTAATCTACGCTAAATATGATTTTAAAATGGGTCATTTATTTTAAATCCCAACTTGAAGTAAGAATTTAATACACAATAACATGATACTTACTCAAGTCCACAGTCAAGATCATAACAACATCCACGGATTTGTGTATTCAACTGTTCAACTTTTGACTATAAGAGTAAATACCAAAATTAAAAGAACAATATTTCTAACCTGACATCTTAAAATCTCAGGAGTTGACTTTCTTATATGTTCTTGAATATGAAAATAAGCTAATGAAGGTTGATTGGCAAGTGAAATCAACATATCTGAAGTACATTCAGTCACTAAATTCAAATAAAATAGTAGTATTCTTCTTTTTTGTATAAAGTAAACTAACTACCTTTCTGACATGCTGATTCATTCATCATATTTATTTCAGTTGATGACTGATCTTTTCAATGCATTAAATGATAAATAAAACAAAACACTGAAAATACCTTTCTTGCCAAAAAGGAAATTCACACCCTTCTCCATCAATGACTGTTATCAGTACTACTTTTAACTGATCACAAATAAATCACCGACAAGGTTTTCTGTACCATTGTACACATTAATAACGGCTTATTACTGCATGACGGAACTGAAAAAAAGAAACATAAAGGCTTGTAGAGTCACACACTTCCCCAAAATCAATAGCCTAGGGTTTGACGACTTTCGACATTGATGCTGACCTTGATAGTTTAACTGGACTCACTAAGCTGAAGGCACCCGGTCAAGCATCCTCACCATTTAACACGCTGTCGTGTTACGTTGCACTGCTCGTATTCGACTCTCTAGCCAGTTAGTTGGAACGCATCGGTATCTCGGCACAACCATCCAAATATACTATCCCATCCGACTACGCTATCGTGTTCTTCCTTGGTCTCGTACTCATGGGTATATAATAAGTCCGAATAATTAGTGATTGGTCTTTGCGTCTGTCAAGTTCGCACCAGGACAAATCCTAAAGGCTTAATACCATGCAGGATCATATCAATCTGACATGTGAGGAAGAAAATGACCATTAACTTGCATTTATTGATATACTCTTGTGTCCGAGGGATGATGGATCTATCAGACGATCATTCTATGGAAAGCCTACATTGACGGGATAGTACTTGAGTTTCTACAGCTTAGTACGATGTTTATTCAATAGGATCCAATTTATTTGCATATTTGATACAATGGATAATGAAGGCAAGTTTCTGACAGACACACTTACAGAAAACGGATACCCAGCAAAGTTTCTCTACCGTTGTATAAGACAGCTAACCCCAAAACTTATAATTTTCTCGGTACCTAAGAAGGACATATTTCTTACCATTTCGTGCCATACAGAGGGGAAACGAGTACTATGATATTGAAACAGAGATTAAAATCCGTTATCAGTAAAACATACTATACAGCTCAGCTTATCATTGGTGAAATAACAAATCACCTGCTTCGTCACAAACCTCAACCTCACATAAATGATTATCACATCCCATTGCGTTTACCAATTTACATGTATATGTGGACACATACATAGGGAGGAGCAAGCGTGCAATGCAGACTAAGGTGGGTGAACACATATCTAAATGGCTTGAAAAACAGTTCAACACACAAACTCTGATCAGTGCAGGGGACAGACACCCATCTTCATCTATAGCAAAACATACCATCGAAATGAATCATATGGATAATGCGAAAACAGCATTCCTACAGGAACAGTCAGGGGTGCATTCCAAAATTTCAGAATGGCTAACGCTTCGGCAGATTAATCCGCTGATTGTTGGAAATGTATTGAGCAAATATATTACTCATGTTTTTCAGGCGATCTAAATTTATAAACTCATGTCTACTTTTCGTCTGGCAAATCCAACAATTTAAAATCACTTACTGTAAAACGCTAAGTATAGTTGTGATAAATAAATAAAAAGCAACTCTGTTAAAAACAGATGTGTCTAGAAGGTAAGATGACCTAGAAAACTTAGGAATTGGAACAAAAACAGAGGTGAAGTAAAACACTAAATTAAAGTACTATCAGTCACAGTGTACCAGAAGTAACACACAGACAATCAATGAGAACCTCATGGTTAAAGCGTGGGACAGAGAGGCTTATCCGGAGCAAGAAGCAGGCTTGGTTCAAGTGGCTTACATCACGCAGGGAGTCTGACTTCTTGAACTACAAAAGGATTCGCAATCTCTGTAACATTAGAGTGCGTAACGACAGATTTTCCTACCAAACAAACTTGGCAGCGAGGTTACAAAGCAACCCCAAAAACCTGTACCGCTTCATGTCAAGAAGAAAGTCGACCAGTAAGGGAGTGAATCTTGTCACAGGCCATGACGGGAGTGTGCTAAGCAGTCTAGAGATTGCCGAGCTTTTGAGCTCACACTTCCAAGCCCAACTCAGCACTGACACAAGATCCACACCGACTCGCCACGACACCGACCAGGTCGCAAATAACGAATACCTCTGTCACGTCTCTATTACAGAGAAAAAGGTGTTCGAGAAGCTATCTAGGCTACGTCCGGGCAAGTCCCCTGGCTGCGATAACCTGAAACCAGTGGTTCTGAAAAACTGCGCCGAGGTGCTTACCAAACCACTTCGCAACCTCTTTGAGCACTCAATAGACTCGTGCAAACTCCCTAAAGAATGGAAGAGTGCCATCTTGTCACCCATCTTCAAGGGAGGAGACAGAAAAAGCCCTGGCAGCTACAGGCCGATTGCCCTACTCCCTATTGTGTCGAAAGTGTTGGAAAGCCTGGTAGCTGACACCATCTGGGAATTCCTCAATAGAGAAAACACTGTCCACACTGCTCAGCACGGCTTTCGTAGTGGTCGCTCATGTGCCACCAACTTACTAACTGCCTGGGACGACTGGACACAAAGCTGGGATAATAGAAAACCTGTACATGTTGTATTTCTCGACCTAGCCAAAGCATTTGACAGTGTCCCACCCACAGTACTGCTTCACAAGATCATGTCAGCTGGTATAAGTGGACCCCTACTCTCTTGGTTCAAGGAGTACCTGGAAGGGAGGCAGTTCTGCACTAAAGTGAACAGAATAAGGTCGGAGTGGAGACCGTCGACGTCAGGAGTATCCCAAGGAGCAATCCTAGGACCGCTTCTGTTCCTCCTGTTTGTCAACGATCTGCCAGACAAAATATCCTCACCCATCCTCCTCTTCGCTGACGACATAAAAATTTGGAGGGTGGTAAACGAAGAAGCCGACTGTGCAGCACTACAAAAGGACTTGCAGCAACTCGAGCTCTGGTCGTCGGAAAATGGCCTGAGCTTCAACTGGAAAAGTGCAAAGTAATGCACATCAGTAAAAATGAGGCAAGTACGACCGACTTCCAGTACATGTTGAGCAACCGTGCTATCACCAGAGTGTCCATGGAGAAAGATTTGGGGCTCAACTTCTCCGACACCTTGGACACCAGCTCCAACTACAAAGGTATGACAACCAGAGCGAACGCCATTCTACACTTTCTGCGTAGACAGCTTGGCGCCCTCACTCCCGAACTCTTCCTCACCATTTTCAAATCCTACGTGCGGCCGCACCTAGAGGTCTTCAATACGGTGGCTCCTCCAACACTCAAGAGAGACTCTAATCTCCTTGAAAGAATACAAAGAACTGCAACAAAATGTGTTGTGGGGCTAAGGGGAAAGACGTATCCTGAAAGACTTAAACACCTCAACCTATTTACCTTGGGTTATCGCAGGAAAAGGGGTGACCTCATTATGGCATACAAGATCGCCCATCAGGCAGACCATGCAAACAAATCAATTTTGCCTGCAACTGAACGATCTTCACGAGGAAACCCCATTAAGATAGCACACCAGAGAGCCAACACCACACTCAGGTCCAAATTTTTCTCCCTAAGAGTATGTGCTTTATGGAATGCCTTACCGCGACACATCGTTATAGCTCCTTCAATCGACTCTTTCAAGAGGCGATTAGACAGTTATGTCACCTCGCATGGACTACCACGGACGTACTCAGGTAGTCACCAACCTCAGTACCCCCAACTCCCTCCTAACTACCACTCACTATCTCTCTCCTTAATACACCCACATTACCTACTAATTCTTCTGTAGGAACCAAACCCACGCGACCATTCGGGCAATTCCCAAATACTTTTCTTTCGTTCTCATTTCTCTCTTCACCCCTTCTTTTCTTCTCCTTCCCTTTCCTCTTCCCTACATTATTATTACTATTATTTTTATTTTTATTTATTTATTTATTTTATTTATTTTTTTTTAATTTTATTATTTTTTTACTCTTCCTTATTTCTCTCTTCATTCCTTTACCACTACCTTAATATTCTCTTTCAGGTACCTACACAGACAGGAGTCACGGTTGTTCTCTAAACTTCCCAGCAGCCCGTAGCTCCCTAATCACTCTACAAATTACAACCTACTAACCCACAAAACATCCACCTCACCGAAGCTAAAAGCAAGAAAGCAGAGGGGATTTCCTCGTCCACTGCAGGAGTAAACCGAACAACTGGAACCAAGCCCTAAGAACTAGACGCGAGAGATCAAAAACTACTAGTTTTCTACGCTCGCACTATCAATATTGGAATATTGGATATTGGATCTCGCTCTCTCACATAAGCGCAGTACAGAATAAACGTTTGCGAATCCACTTATCAGTAGCGGTATGTCTACATCTCATTATCATGAGGTTTATTTTTTCATTCACTGATTTATATCCGTATTTAGCTCTGAGTTATTGAACAATTCGGTATACATGACACCTGTCATCTCAATCAACTTTTGTTCATATGACCTATACACCACCATATTCAAAAAAATTAACTTCTCCACCTAGTAAACAAATGAATATCAAGTGTCCTAACGATTATAAACTGCAATCTAACTTTATGGTGGTATTTGCAAGCCAAATCTTTGCACGCCTAATAGTTTAAGGAAAGTAAGTAATTCCATTGACAAAATGGAAGAAAACAAGGGAACCTGCTGCTTACATTTTCGCGATTTCATGAAACAAATCCAAAGTACTAATGCTCACAAGACAAACCGAAACTTGCTAAGTCCAACTGAAAGCCAATTTGCTTTGTTAACCTTGAAGGTTTTACAAAATGTGGAAACTGCACTGGTTCATTGTACAATCTTTCCTACGATCACAGATGCAAGACCTGACACTCTAAGGCGGATTTCTCTCATAGATATTATTGTGTTTTTTGTTGGAAACCTATAGAATCCCACTAGATTCACTGATGACCAATATACGTACTCCGTAACAGGATTTTTACTTTCATCTCGGTAAACCGGATTACTGCGGTGTACTGAATGTCCCTAGGGTATTTATTACTATTTGTCCCTTGGGTTCCTGGTGGAATATAGGGCTTCAGTAGCACGTCGCAGTTTCACTTTATTCTCTACAATCTTTTCAACCTAGCTCCACCACTACCCACAAGCTTTCATTTGTTCCTCACGCCCTCTCCTCCATGTCACTCTCGTCTCGGACGCCCAACTTGTCGTTTCCCCTTTGGGACTTCGCTCGATGGCCTGGCGACATCTCACCTCCACGATTCCAGCTAAGAATAATTCTACTTTCCATACTTTCTTTGTGCTTTGAAGTTTCTTTGGCGTTTTGGTTGGTTTCACGGGATAGTATTGTTAGCCCTATGCCCAACCTTCCCTCTTTATCCGGGCTTACGACCAGCTAGTAACCAGTCAGCAAGGCGAGGTTCCCTAGGGTATAATGAAGATAAAAAACTTCATAAGCACCGTACTACAGCTGTAGCACGAATAATCAGAAGTACATCGACATCGTACGTTGTTCATTTCTCTACTGTAAGTTTCAGATCCCCACTTGCCATTAATTTGCACTGTGCAGTAGGACACGCGGTATCGTCTCATTCTAAAACTAAATAGGTTAGCATATAATGGTGTCATCTTAGTACTACCCTTACACCACAGGTTATAATCGGCAAATAATGATGTGCTTGACGAAATTAGGATCAATGATAGAACAAATTCTCACCAGGAGTCAACCACCGAAAAACGATGACAGTGTAGTATTCAAACCTAAGTGATTAAAAATTTGGGGATATGTACGTGAGTATACTTCAATCTTTAATACCGCTGCCTCTTTTCCAAAATGCCAGACCATGTTCTGAATCCCGTCAAAAACGGAAAAAGCAGTATATCCATCAAGAACACATGAGACATCCTTTGTGGATGGGTAGAAGCGAAAGATGTGTAAACAACATACTTGTTGAGATTAAGTAGAAAACTAGTGTAATATTGCTGTTATGATTTCATTTGCTTAGGGCTTCAGAGGGCTACAGTGATCAAAAGCTTGTTTGTCAACGTTTGACTTTGATCGGTGTACGCCGAAGCAAGTAAGTTACGTTTTCATAATAAACGTGGCCACTTTACAGGTCATAAGAAAAGAATTCCAACGACTGTAACAACTTTTACCGTTACTTGTAATTCAGTGAGAACATGACCAATCATTGTCTGCTCTGTCTGAAACATAGCCGCTAAATGTGGGAGACATGAAGCGATTGCAGCTCTTCGATTACAGGTGTCTTCGTAGTATTGTTAGCGTTTGGTGGAATCACCATGTGAGCACTGTAGAGATCAGGCGAAGGATACCACGCAAGGCACGTACCAGTTTATGAAGTTGTGAACTTTAGTTGAATGAGATGGCTTGAACATGGACCACTCATGCCGAGCCACCATCTACCTCCATGTCTTATGCCATGCTAGGGGAGGTTGGACTAGGTTGGTAGAGGGTCCGAAGTGGCCAAACCAAGACGTGGCACTAGACGATAAAGTCCCTAACTATTAGCCTGAGCCGTGTTGGGAGATGCAAACTACCTGCCTGGGGCTTCGGAGACCATGGGAATCAATGGTTGGGAACCCTTGGTGACATGGCGGAAAATCGGTAACATCGGTACAGATGTCTTCACTTCCTGGCGTATCTTAAAGCTTGAGTATTCACACTGGCCTCTTTCCTCAGATTGTTTATTTTCTCCGACAACCTTGTCTACTTTGATATCACTCTTCTATCCACCTGCTGTTTGTGTGCTTCTGTGAATTGTGGTAACCTGAGGTGACGCGCTTGTGTGTGACGTTCTACGATGAATTTTCAGCCGGCCAGTTATGACCAATCACTTGGCTACAATTAGATCCAGCATGAACATGTGAAATACGACGAAACGCGTGTCGCGGATTCCACTGTTACACACTACAGGATAAATTATAAGAGATCGTAGCTACTGAACTTTTTCGTAACCATTATATAGACAACGCAGAAGAAACGAAGTTTCGCGTGGTGAACCTTTACAACCACCCATCCTAAACCGATGAAACGATGTACGAAACAAATAACAATGACTAAGGATATCTACAGTATGAGCGTATCAAACGAACTCCTATCTTACGTATAACTACCTGCATTAAAACCGTAATATAAACGGCAAAGACATGTAAGTCAAAATGAAACTTCCGAAACAAGTTCTAATTTTAGTCAATAGTGCAACATGCAATCCAATGAACACCTTGCCCACAACAAACTTATCACTTATCTCAACGATGCTGCGACTACAGTTTGGGTGTTTTTGAATCAGTACGTAATTACTGTCCAAGTACATGTGGAAAGCTTTCACCAAACCTCTCTACACACAAGTGAAAGCATAGTGGTTAATCTGTGTCTACCACTGATTTAAGGTAGGTGGGTACCAAACCAGACAATACCTACCACAGCACAACTGTAGAAGACATTCACCACTATTTGCTTGTTTGACTATGATTCCGGAAGTATCACCTGACTGGCTTTCTATTCGACCTAGCCAAAAATGCGCTGAAACCACCTGTTTCGGTAATCGCACCTCAAAATTTGACCTCCGGTAAAAGGATACGCAGTTTTCGGCAGAACCCAACCTTCACTTCATCCAAACACCGATAGTGGATGCACTTACAAAGGTTACAATGAGATATCGGTAACTTTCCCTATTTTTTAGTCCTCATTATACTGTTCAGTCAAACAACATACGGCCGACTGTTAACTGGGATCCAGCCGAGCAGTGCTCTTTCTGCCTTAGCCTTTAATGCAACACCTACACCTGTAGGACGACGAGAATCAGACATCGAACCTGCAGAAACTTGACGAGTGAATCATAAAATTCAACACACTGGAAAAATGAGATTAACTGAATAACGGCAACTGGGTTTTGTGGCGTATCTCACAAACGCAACATAGATGTCTGACCGTAAGTGCCAGTTTTGGATGGCAAAGCTTGTCAGCCGGTTCGATGAAGTGTGGACATCCAAGTAGTCTAAAAAGTGGATTCATAAAACACACTCTACACACTTCACTCCCTATCAATAAACTGAGATAACTTGCAGCATTCTGTCAGCATCTTTACCCAGCTGGAAAATATCGCCTGCGCACCCCAGGTTAACCAGATGACCTTTAGGAAGTAGGTCGATCCCCATGAATTCGGACGTATCTAGGGCTATGTCCGCTAGTAAGCCTATGACGAAATTAAATAGGAATGACAACAGTGGGAATCCTCGGCAGACGCCACTACTTACCTTCAATTCCGACAAGAACTCTCCACCAGCTCCAACATGGCTGCATGAATTCGGGTGGAAAGCTGTGGTACACGACACCCCGGCCCGTTCATCAGTTAAAATGACACCCAGCCATACGTCAAGGAAGAGGTGTGACAAGTGTGAAGCTGAATGACACGGGGAAGGTTTATATATAGTATTCCTCCTTGGAAGGTACGAGCGTCAATCCAACCTATCGTCCTCTGACAAGAGGATGAATCTCACAAAAAGCTCATCTGCCCCGTGAGAAACTGTGCATACACATGATGAGATGTTTCTTTCTCGACTATATGAGTGTTATATGTCTTGGTGTTGCACAACGCGCGTGCGGTCACAAATTTGCCCGCCGATGTCAGACAACATTTCTATCTCCATGGATTTTTCTGCCTCCGGTTTGAATCCTTTATAATGCCCTCGGAAAGGACACTGCACGACAAGAGAACAGCGGTGACATATTGTTGATCACTCTCACTAAGTGGACACCCTGTGAAGCAACAGGCGGATGCAGTTAGCATTTGTAAACAAGCGTGCACGAAGAGAAAGACTCGTATGTCAGTCACGTTGCCGGAAAAAGTTATTTTTCTCAAGGCTATCCAGAAACTGAAACCATCACTACGGGGGATATGATGCTGGCCATACGTTATTGTCAGAACGCCAAGGTTTTATTTCGGACAACACTTGACTCATCTGCACCCATGAAGCTTCACAACTGTCACCCAATACAGATAAAATTGTAGTTGACAACAGCGATTTCAAATTTGTCCGCATTGCGGTGTCAAACCCCTTCGGCATACTTCCCGTACCTCACGCCTATAGAATGAGGTTGTATAACGATATGGTTTCGAAGACATGACTTGACTTATGTATACATACATATGCATCACTTTTTGACTGCATGTACAGCTGCAAAACATGGTATTCTGACGGCTCAAATTGTTTCCATAGAGCAACATTGCTTTTAGGTGGTCACGCTCCCTTTCCAGATGGAAGCTAATAAGTTTATGGTGGTTCGCTTGTGGGCTAAGGAGGTATTCAATGTAGTCGGCTCACGCTGGTTGTTCAGACCGAACTACATACACCTTGGGATGACTTGTATCCAAACGACATCCGGCAGCGCACCGAGCCTTCGAAACGTTGGTACCTTACTAACATACATGTGCAGTGTTAAACACCAATACTTTATGCCCTCGGATACTTATGGAGCAGCTGTGGAAACATCGGCACCGCAGATGCAGCGGAGCTGCCCACTTCAATATCCGTATCCTTTGCACCGAATACCGCAGTACCTATGCTCAGAGTAAAAAGGAAGAAGCACCTCTGTTAGGATCCAGCGTTACATACAACGATACAATGCTCTGATACAACACGATTAACCACGGAACAGTAACTTCTCAACTCGATTTTTCGCTGAAACCAGAAGACGACTGAAAGTTTATTTACTGCAGCCGAATAATAATGGGTGAAAACCCAGTCGTTTTTATGTCCTTAGATAGCCTCGGCCAGAGAAGACAAAATGG